AGGCGGGAGAGGCAAAGTGCTGTGAACTGACCACAACCCTCATTCCTCATCCCCCTGCACTGCTTGTCAGGGAGAGGTAGAAGAGTCAGGAGTGAAGCTGAGCCTGGGAAGAAGGGTAGGTAGAGGTGAAAGGCCTTTTTGGTTTTGTTTTTATTTCTCACCATCCTATGCTGTTATTAGCTGTCAATAAATAAGGCTGTTTTGATCATGACAGTAACTGGAAAGTGATCTCCCTGGCTTTATCTCAATCACAGGCTTCTTCACCATATTTTCTCCTTCTGTTCTGTTAACGAGGGGGAGTGAGAGAACGGCTGGGTGGGCATCTGGCAGCCAGACAAGGTCAACCCACCATGTGTGCTCTCTGAGATACTGGATTGCTAAATCCAGTGACTTCAGGCACTGAGTCCCTCTGTCACAGAAAGGAACAACACTGGAAGTTCTTCTTGACTCTCACTGCACTGTTTAAAAAGTTATATGCTGCTAAACGTTTTTTTCTTCAATTTCAACATAAAACCCAAATGCTTACCATTCACTTATTCTTCAAATGTAGCATGGCTCCAAGTATGCTTTATACAACTGGGTCCAAAGGGAGAGAGAGATCCTTCTACATGTAAGATCTTTGTATACATTAAAATTAGAAAGATGAACTACTGAAGATTTTCTGTTTCTTATGCACTTTAAGGTAGTTAATAATCTCATAATTTATTATTAATATTTTTCTACTTGAAAAAGCTCATACAAGCTATCCCTATGCTTTTCAGTAGCAGGAAATGGGGTCACATAACTAAGCTGTCAGGAAGCAAACCAAAATGTAAACTTATAGTGTACATAAAAAGTGGTAAAAATCAATTTACATTTATTATACAGGAGCTAACAAAGTGTAAGTTCATACCCTAGCTCTTTTAGCCATTTCACAAATATTACCCATACTTTCCACTTACCATTTCATCAGTTACTTAGAACAAAGTATGCACAAACCACTTTGTGATGAACAGAGAAAGAGT